AATTAAAACTATTTTAAAAAAATTATTACAAAATAAACAAATATTGATTTTACTTTTAAATGTTTTTTTAAATTAAAGCTTGAGATTTTAGAGAAAGATATCCTATTGTTGTTAATACATAATAGGCATTTCGCCTTTAAGTTGACTTTATCATCTGTATCATCTATAAGCTTGAAATATTTTTTATATGGTGGAAATAGAAATTCGGTTTCTTCTTCTAAGATCTCTAAATCCATAATATCTAAAACTATTTTTTATTATATATCTATAAAATGAATATTAATATGACTTACAAGATTTTTCAAAAAATTTTCAAAAAAGGAAAAACTGATGTGTAATGTTTAAAATGATTAGATGAAAAATCAATATAAAACTCGGCTCAACATTTAATAATGAATAAATTTAAATAATATAATTTATATATTTAAAGGAGCGGTGGAGCGGCGCTCTTCCACTCCAACCTTGATTATGAGGGCACATGAGAGGGGAGGCATACAGGATAAAATGTCTATAGAATTCTCAAGATAATATAAAGGAGAAAATAGTAAATAAATGCGTCAGAAACCTGTCATAATCAACCAGCGAAGTAAAGTTTAGAAATTTATATATATTATATGTCGCCTCTAACATTCAGATACAACTGGGAGGGCCACGATTTTGAATGATCTTAGATTTTTTAAAAGAAACCATTTTTTTTTTTTTAAAAATGAATAATTAAAATATTTGAAGGTAATATTATATTTAATAATAAAATATATCCCACTTCAATTCATATATGATTATTCTTTATTTCATTTAAAATTTTAAATCTAATTATGAAAGACTTAATCCAGGATTTTGCTAAGAAGAGGGGGAGAAAGCACTATTAGATGACATCTTCCCCCATAATTTTATTGGAGATGTTTAGGTCCACTTTTGACCTTTTTGGCTAAATTAGATTTTTATAAAAATAATTTTGGATTATAGTATTTCAAAATTCTTCATTATAATGATATATTTACATTTTTGGGGGAGAGGGGGTTTGAGGGGGTTGTAGGAAATTTTTATTAGATTAAAATGATATATACATAAGAATAGACAAATTTGCGATAGTGGGGGGGGGGGGGGATATGTTCTTTATCACGCATTGGTTCCGCGCCTGTTAAAAAGTAACAATAAATAAATATATATTTTAAATTATTCAAAATATATATATTACTTAAAATGTGCCAAGACTTTTTTCGAAAATATTTAATCTACTTTGCCTAAAACATTATTATCGGCTAAGTTAAATTAAAATTGGATTACTCTATTTTGCGGGATTAAGTTAATAAAACTCTAAAATGATTTTTTTTTTGGTATATCGATTTCCATATAAAAATTTATTTTTTAAATAATCCTTTTGATCCATCATTGTTTTTTTAAGTTCTTTTAAGTGAAAACCTCATATTTCTTCAATATGATTTAAATTTGCACATTGGAATCGAACGAATGTTATGATCATTGTAAGATAATTTGTCGATTTAACGTATGGTAAAGAGTTCCGTGTTCCTGGAAGATGTAATTTGCCTGTGTTAATTATACTGAATTGATTAGATCAGCAAGAAAGAAAGAAAGATAGAAAGAAAGAAAGATAAGAAAGAAATGAAAGAAAGAAAGAAAGAAAGAAAGAAAGAAAGAAAGAAAGAAAGAAAGAAAGAAAGAAAGAAAGAAAGAAAGAAAGAAAGAAAGAAAGAAAGAAAGAAAGAAAGAAAGAAAGAAAGAAAGAAAGAAAGAAAGAAAGAAAGAAAGAAAGAAAGAAAGAAAGAAAGAAAGAAAGAAAGAAAGAAAGAAAGAAAGAAAGAAAGAAAGAAAGAAAGAAAGAAAGAAAGAAAGCAAGAAAGAAAGAAAGAAAGAAAGAAAGAAAGCAAGAAAGAAACGTCTCACTCAATTTATAAATTTTCAATTATATCCTCCTTTCTAGAAGTTCTCTAATTTTCATTAGGCTCAAAAACTCCTGGATTTTTAAATTTTAATATTGGTTTGCTATAGACATGCCATTATTTCCTTTTTTTTTCTTAAGAAATGTTAATTATTTAACGAATTTTTATATATAAGGTCTTACAAACCATTTGAATATTAAATAAGCTATAAAAAACAAATTGATTAAATAACTTGATACGTGATTTCAGCGCTTAAGTCTTCTAGTGCTGAAAGCAACAGACATCAAAGTGGATATTTAATATAGGGGGAAAAATGAGGAGTCCTTCATACGTTCGTAAGCCCCACTTACTTATACACGTAATAGTCCTAATGCTATTACTTAAACGTCTGTTCGATGATTAAAAAGTTGGGCAGAGAAACATAACTAAAAAATTTAAACAGACGATAATTAATTATTTTTTTTAAGGATAGATAAATTAAAATGGGGCAAACATTTTTGTAAATAAAGAGACTTTTTTTGTAAGGGGGGGGGGCATTAATAAGTATTTTTAAATTTAAATAGTACCTTAAAAATTAAGTTTGATCGAATACCAATGATTAGCGTTGTTAAATAGTACGATTTAAACTAAAAATGAAGAGATTTTATTCAATAACACAGCAATATGTGCCTTACAAGTTTTCTATTATTTTTCGATTCTAAACCTTGTCTTAAATTAAAAGTCAAAGAAACCTATCTTTTTTTTAAATTTTTAGGTATTACATATGTATTTACACCTAAATATATAAAAAAAATTCTAAACAATATCATTAGGGTTTCCTAAGATAATATTTTCATATTTATGCATTTAACGCCCTCTCGTGGATATATATTTGTTAAATTATAAAATTGAAAAATAAAATTTGAGTTGTAATAAACTATTTGTAGAAGACATGATTATAAAATAAATAAAAAATGTTCACTTTATTTATATTTCATATGGTTTATATATCTTTTTTATATCAAAAAATTAGAATATAAAATCAAAAGGTTAAGTTATAAAATGAAAAGTAAGCGTAAAAATAAAAGTATAATTGTACATAATTGCGATGGGGCAAAACCCAGGGTCTTAACTTATGAATGCGTGTTATATAAAATTTAACTATATAACACTTTTAATTATATTATTTTACCCATTAATTTTATGTAAAAATAAAAATTATAAATAATTTGATAGTAAAAAAATTGATTTATGAACAATTTTTTAATAATAAAAGTTTTTAAATTTTAATGAAGACGAACGTCAAAGTTATGAATCGGATATAATTTTTGTTATGTTAAGGACACTAACTTATGTGGGAAAATGAGAATTTTTTAAAAAAGAATTTCTAAAATAAAATTTTCTATGATTTTTATGATAACTTTTATAAATTATATTAAATTTTAAAATATTATTCCAATAATCTTTTAGCTATTGGAAATCAAGAATAAATTATTAATATAAAAATGAATGAAAGTTCAAAATTTAGAGTTTTCATAACATTCTTATTTATTCAAATCTCTTTATGATCAATTTCGAGACTAGTGTTGTTAAACGGCTCATCAAACATTCTTTTCCAGAAAAGGCCATATTTTTATTTTTGACACTTACAATTTAGGTGACTTTGACATTGAAGCATCACTTTTCCTAAAAACCTTAGGGTAAACAACTCTCTTATATCTTCGGCCACCCATAAGGAAAATCTAGGCAGATAATATCTCTTGAAGCATGTAGATCCAATTGCTTATCTATTCATTAATTTTTTATATTTATATTTACATCTTATAGGTTTTTATTTTTTTGATATTTTAATTTTTGCCATATAGTTTTTTATATATTGCTAAATTTATAAGCATATTTTTAAAATGTCTTGACTTTTCAACAGAATGAAAATAAATAAATTTTAAAAAAAATTTAGAAAAATTTAATAAAGAAAATTTTAAATATCGGAATGGAAAAGAATATCAAAAAATCAGATATTAACAAAAGTTAACCAAATAAATAAAATTCGGTGATCAAATAAATCTTAATAAGGTGTCACTTGATTAAGTGTCGAGTTATAAAGTGTCACGTGATACAGTGTCACATGATAAAGTGCCACCAAATACTTTATGAATAGAAATGATAATAATATGAGAGGAGGTAAACAACCTGGATACAACAACTCGTCGTCATTTTAATAACGATGACAATAATTTTCCACCGTATACAGACTAGAGTATAATGTGAATAGGGCGAAGATAAGAGTGAGAGGGCTTAATTGGGACTTAGAAACGAGAGATAAAATATCTCTGATTTGCGAGAAAAGCTATCGAAAGAATCTAAAAACTTAAATGGTCTACTATGTCATCTCTGAGAAAACATGAAAATTTGTAGCTGGTATATAAAGGCTAAACACAATAGTTAAGATTTAGGCGAAGGGTGGAGTGACAAATAAATCATAATATTTATTTATTAAATATAATAAAGTTTTTGATGGAAAATCGAGTCTGATCACAAATTTTACGGTTATTATAAATTTATTTGAGCGATTATCAAGGAGCTCCCTAGGCAAAGTGAGGATGGATTTTTGACACTACGGAAACCTTATTTAGAGAGAGATGAAGAGATTGGTACATTTTGGCGGATTGGTCAAAGTAGATCGAATAAAGAATTGTTGTAATTGAATAAACCCTACTCTTAATATAAGGACTGTTGGCACCATTAATTCTCAGATTTTTAAATAACTATTAATACAGCACTATGGAATAAGTAACATCAATTTAATGTCAAGACATCATCCCCATTGTCTTTTTAGTAGATATAAATATACCTAATTCACCAAATAATAAAGAGAGGTAGATGCACTATATGACCCTTTTTATAATAATTTAATTAGCATTTATAAACTAAACTAAAAAAAATAAACAATAATAATGTAAGAAATAATATATTTATATATATATTTGAATCTATGATTTTTTAAAAAAATTATTATTATGAACTATAAAATAACTTTTCCACGCTTTCGTAAAGTTAGTTATATAATTTTTATGGACTATATTCTCATAAAAAATTAATTAAGCAAATAATCTCAAAAAAAAATTTTTTTTAATAAAATGTAGATAAAAACGATAAAATAGATGTAATGTATTCTAAAATTCCTTCAAATATATTGTTCCTATGTCCTTCTTCTTTTACCAATTCCTGTTGTAACGGCGTAAATTGTTTTCCATCCCTAGTAAAAAAAATATGTATAATATAATTCTCCTGTTTTATGTATATAAATATTTATGGAAAATATAATTGTAACTGTGAACAGATATTGTATCGCGTTAAGAAAATAACTTTTATAATTATATATTATATATTTGAGGAACGTATAATATGTCTCGAAATTTTAAGGACTCAAGTTTTGCGTGTTTAGGTATGATTATTTTTAACTAGATCTGTTATTGGCCCGGGGTCTAAAGGCCCAACTTGTGTTGATTAAAAGGGGCTAAAAAATTATTTTATTTTAATATTGCAAATTAAAGATTTTTTTCTTTCGTCACAAATAATTACTGTCCAGGCATGACTTAAAATTTTGAGCGGGTTGGGAAATCAGTCTTAAAAATTTTCCTCGGGATGGGGGGGGGGGGCTATAAAGTATATGACGGGTAAAAATAGTTGGGCTTATCTAATCGAAATAAATCCCTTTAAAAGAATTACATGTACTTGGATAATATGTGTATTTCATTATTAATGCATAGGGTATCATTGGACAACTGGGTACCATTTACCACGAATTCGTTCTTTAAGTATTCAGCATATTCAGGTTCTGTCGTTTTATTTTTGCATTCCCAATATTCGGGCTTTAGGAAATATCTGCATGTTATTTTACAATGGAGTTTGCAAGAGTTTTTATCTATAAAAACAAAACAAAAAATGAAGTAAAAATTTGAGAAGTTCCAAATTTTGAAGGTTAATTTATTTTTTTTTACTTAAAATGTATCTGTATATCCTTTGCCAAATTTCAACTTTCATAAGAATATCATTGCACTTATTATTGTTAGCTTCTTTTGAAGTTATCGGTGACTTTTCTTTCTATAGATATACAATATTTTTGTGAAATTATAATCAATTATATAAAGAAATGAAAAGAAAAGAAAAGAAAAGAAAAGAAAAGAAAAGAAAAGAAAAGAAAAGAAAAGAAAAGAAAAGAAAAGAAAAGAAAAGAAAAGAAAAGAAAAGAAAAGAAAAGAAAAGAAAAGAAAAGAAAAGAAAAGAAAAGAAAAGAAAAGAAAAGAAAAGAAAAGAAAAGAAAAGAAAAGAAAAGAAAAGAAAAGAAAAGAAAAGAAAAGAAAAGAAAAGAAAAGAAAAGAAAAGAAAAGAAAAGAAAAGAAAAGAAAAGAAAAGAAAAGAAAAGAAAAGAAAAGAAAAGAAAAGAAAAGAAAAGAAAAGAAAAGAAAAGAAAAGAAAAGAAAAGAAAAGAAAAGAAAAGAAAAGAAAAGAAAAGAAAAGAAAAGAAAAGAAAAGAAAAGAAAAGAAAAGAAAAGAAAAGAAAAGAAAAGAAAAGAAAAGAAAAGAAAAGAAAAGAAAAGAAAAGAAAAGAAAAGAAAAGAAAAGAGTGATACTTTTTCTTTAACTATTTTATACTTTATAATTTATACATGTTGAAATATAAACCCAATAAACTTCTTTTTTTTATTTTTTCTCATATTGTAATTCACTAATAGACCTAGGCTAAAATAGAGCTTTCTGGCGTTAGAACCAAGCGTGTAATATTGAAAAATGGTCAACCACAAATCGAGCGTTTTTAAAATATCATAAACAAACATTTTAGATATTTTAAGACGTTTGCTAAAATTAAAAATTTTGGTCTGCTTCAGTAGTTTTGTACTAATTTGGAAAAAAATCCCCCTATTTTAAAGTAATAGGTGTATGAATATTTATATATATATTATTTTTTAAATAATTTATAACTATATATTATAGTTTTAATTTTTAGTTTTTCGTAATGACCGGCAAACGCGCAATTTATAGAAAGGCGAGAGATAGCTTTGGTAGGACCTTAAGAACCAATTATCAAGTTATAATAAACGCAGATTGTTAATTTAAATATTTTAATTATTTTTCCTAAGAAAAACCGAAAATTAAGCTCTCATTTTGGAATAAAACATAATAATTTTTCTATTATAATTAATTTTACTTACATTACACGGGACAAATATATCGCTCTTATCATTGCAATCTCCGGAATTGTTACTAAAATATTAATTTTTTAAAAAAATTATATTGTATAATTATTAATATATTATTCTAGTATATTGCTATGTTTAAAAAAAAAAATTCTATTTAATATAACAAAAATAGAGTTTTGGTGATTTAAACGTTCCCTTATTTTTACATACTATTTTTTTTCATTTATACAAGCAGATTATAATCTAAATTATTTTGTATCTTAAAATTATAAACAGGTGTTATAAATATACCGAATTTCTGAACATTTCTTCATTTGAAAAGGAATTTCAAATCCAGCGCAATTTCCCTGGGATTGCCATCTAATTCCGGTAGGTTCTTCCCCAAATTTTTACAATAAAAAAAAATATTATAATTCGTGAAAATTATTAAACTATATTTTTTTTATATATAATGGGAAGGTAAAAATTAATATATATATATATATATATATTTAAATTATAAACATTTTTTAATTCATTGGCCATTGATTATTTAAATAAGTTAATAATCTTATCTAATTTTTTTGGAATCTAATAACAGTGGGAATTTTAGAACTTACTTCCTTTTGCTCTTCATTAAATTATCTGAGATATAGTATGTAAATCGAAATATTAATACTTCGATCTGTAATTTAATTTAAAAAAGATATTCATATCTTGTGTTGACGATGCATTCATTAAAAGTGTGCGTCGAATGAAAAACAGCTGGGGACGCCATTTTGGTTGCCCATATCATTATTGAAAATTTTAAACGAGTGGTCAATTTATTCCTATGTCCTGTCGTAAATTTTATTAAAGAATTATTGCCTGAACATCGAGATAATAAGGAGAAGCAAGTTATCAATTTAATAGTCGATGGGTTACCAAAAATGGCGAGTCCAGCTGATTTGCATTCAACGACGTTTTCAAGTGCATTATTATGAATGCATCGTCATTCTAGGTATTATTGTTATAGCTTGTGTTATACGCAGGCGCGCAGGAATTCGCTATGGGTGGGAGGAGAGGGGGTGGGATGATTTTAAAAATTTAGAATTATTTCAGGAGTTATTTAAGGATATGTTATGTTTCAGTAATTGATTAGGACAAGTGACTCCAAAATATAGACAATTTCTAAAACACAAATTCAAATATATGATAAAATATTAAATTGTAAAAAAAAATCGACGTAAAAAGTAAATGTCTCGAAAAAGAACTTTGTAAAAAAAAAATATATAAATTTTTTAAGCATTAGAAATTTGATATATAAATTTAAATTAATAAAAATGTTGGAAATATAAATTAACGCGCAAAAATATTCTCAAGAATTATTTCATATATGTATATATATATATTTATAAATTTACAAAGTAGGGGAAGAAATATAATTAAGAAGCATATTATAAATACGTAATATAAAATTGATTCTTCTTTGAGATTGAGCTAATTTTTAAATGATTTCATCAGTGTTAGTGTCACCTCCTTGTGTATTAAGAAGGGCTAATACCAATTCAATCTAATTTTTAGAGGTAGCGCTTCTCCAATAATGTTATCAAAGGGCTCGATTTAAACCGATTTTGAAAAACGGCTATTCAATATTTTATTTAGAAAAAAAATTCGAATATTTCTCATAGATGTCACAAAAGTTTGGAAATCTATTAGGGAAATCGAGAATTAAGCAATATTCTTCCGGCTAAAATTTTAAGTTGATTTAATGTGAAAACTTAAAAAAAACCAACCAAAGTAGGATGTTCTAAGTTAAAAACTTAGCCTAAACTAAACAGGTTTCAAAACTAAAACGAAGCAAGACACAGGCCATAAGAATTTTTTTTTAAATACATTGTGTGTATATGAAACATTTTAGTTAAACCTATGTTATATTCGAGTATTATATACATGGGCATAATATATCTCAGTGCAGAGGTATCATTTCTAAGCCCCGGCCAGAGTTTTCCCAGTGGATCAACCAGGGTTTTATATTTTCAAGGCCCAGCCCGGAGTTTTTTAATTAATATATTCTATTTATTTTTAAGTTTTATAGCTAATAATGGCGATTTAGAATATTTTGATTTTTAATATTTATATTAATAAGGCTATAGAAATATATTTGTTTAATTAACATAAGTTTTTATTAAATCATATAAATTAAAATATTCTCGAGAACATTTGTAAAATAAATTCTATAATAAATTAAAGTTTATATTGTGCCCGGTCCATTCAAATTTAATGAATAATAATAATTTATTTATAAGATTTCCAAGTTACATTAGTATAAAATGGAATTCCATTATTTACTATTTTAATCCAAGATTACATTAATTCTTCTAGTATATAAGGTTAGTATATTTATATTATATATGAAATAATTCATATATGGCTTTTATTTAAAAAAAATTATAATATCCTTGATAATATAACGTAACAAATTTAATTTTTTTTCTTAAAAAAAACCTAATTTTGCAGCTGGAATTTTTGAATGCGAAATTTCTGAAACAAATAGATATTTGTCATTATTCAGGTTATTGTTTGCGTTCTGATGTTTTTTTTGGATCACAATCGCAGTTTTTACTTGAGCTTATTTTATTTTATTTTTAAAAAAAATTATATCAATTTTTAAGTCAAAATTCGGTTTTTAAAAAAATAAATTACATATTAGGAAAGAAAGAATTGTTAATATTTCTAAGATTATCATGTTTATGGGTGAAGAAATAATAAATTTAATTTTGAAAAAAAGTTTAAAGAAAATTAAATTATAATAATTTTATCTTAAAAAAAATTGACAAAATCTAAAATATCTATATTATAATAAGTTCAATTAGGGTACATTAGGGCAAGGTTCATACCCAATTTGAAAACAAACAAAATATAAAATTTTTAAAAAATTATTAGTTGTAAATTGTAACTCGTTATTATTTTTTTGAGAAATATAATTTCTCAGTATTATAACCTCACCTCGCAAACAAACAAAAAAAATTTAAAACGAGAATGTCAAAATAACCATTACTATTATAGGTATATTCTGATTTCGGTTCCAATTTCAAACGAATAAAAATCATAATCTCTTAAGTTTACTTCGTTATATTTCATAGTTTGAAACTCGAATCTTTACCTAAGTTCTAAGGAGAACTAACATAATTTTTCTTTCAAATGCGAAACCTAAACTTTAACCTTTATTCAATTTTTTTAAGGGATATTTTGAAATATAATAACACGTCGATAAATATTTTCGTGTGTTAAAAAAAAAAACAACCTTGAACCCGAACTACAAAAGCAAATAAATTTTTTCTTTCTTTCTTTCTTTCTTTCTTTCTTTCTTTCTTTCTTTCTTTCTTTCTTTCTTTCTTTCTTTCTTTCTTTCTTTCTTTCTTTCTTTCTTTTCTTTCTTTTTAATACTAAAATTTAAACCTGATTTTAATACAATATAAAAAAAATAATTTTTAATTTTTAAATATTCAAATAGCGTTTATAATATAGTTATTAATTTGTTTTTAGAATGATTTGATAAGTTTGTCTACAACTAAGCCAGTTTTGATTAAGAGATACAATACAATACAATGTAAATTTTAAATACTCAATGGCATTCTCTAAACCTAAAATATATAAATAAGTAGAAGAAAAAAAATATAAAATTTTATCTTGAAACTACAAAATAGTTATCATAATTAAATTTTAATGGGGAAGATTTATTGATGGAAAAAAAAATGGAATTCCTAATGATAAAATTTTAATACCTTTTTGATACGAGAATAGAGAAATTTTGTTATATTATTTGCATCTTTACAACACTTAAATAAAGTCTTAAATCATTCTTGTCAATAATTATAACAAAATTTGATATAGAAAGCTAAGAAAACTTAAAAGTTGTAACAAGAAATATAATATTTAAACTTTGCTCTAAAAAGGCTAAATAAGATGATCCTTTAATTTATGTAAGTATACCTTACTAAATAAACTAAAAATCAAACAATGATTAATAAATCTAATGAGTGAATAGCAGATAATCTAATTTTACTCATTTTATAAATGCTATCTAATTTTTGAATTGCAAAATTAAAATCACATGATATTTTATTTCTTTTATTATATTGAATACTAGACATATATCTTATTATTCATAAGGCCAAAAAAACAACATTGAAAATTAAAAAAAGCAACGAAACTCGTGGAAAACGCATTTAAAATAAGATTCCTATTTATCACGATTAAAACGTGATAATACCGTGTAGTTCTTTATCCTTTAAAAAATTGAAATTTTAAAGGGATCCCTCTAAATCCGGTGAAGATCCCGGATAGTCTAAAAATTACGACATACATATAATTAATATTTTAAAATTTATATTCAAGTTGGTGCATGCGGTAAAGCACATGCCTTTGAAACGGGAGGCTCGATTTCGACTCTCGTAAAGAGCAAAAAATTAACATTACACTGGATAGTATCCTTAAATTTAAAATACATTAGGGAGATACGAAAACGATCGTGTTATGATTATGGAGAATATATATTAGATATAATAAACGGATGAATAATATTTATAAAATTGTGATGAATGTTTAAGGTCTTCGCAATGGCTTCTAGCCTTCTTAACGACTCTTCTTCAAATTAGCATATGCATACTAGATAAAGATGTCATATTCATTCATAACTTTTCTTTTGTTAGGCAAATAAACAGGCTTGTGTATCCTCTTTTATAACATCATAATCGCTTTCTGCACTATCATGCCATTCTAGAAATACAATAAATATTATCATTTATAAAAAAATGAACTTTCCAATATCGGTGCTTCCTCCTACATTGCAGATTGTATTAAATTAATATTTTGTCTTTTCCTAAATCTCTGCAACCACCTAGAATTATAAAAATTACAAACAATATTTAGAACTACTTCATTAAATATTTTACTGTAAATTCTACCTTTTTCTAGCATGAAAAGGCCATTCAGGCTGCAATTTTGGCTCCGTATCTGTGCAAGCCAAATCAATAATGCTGACTCTAGTTGCTGGTGGTTTATTTGTAAGGCATTATGATAATTGTGATTCTATTCTATAAATTAAATATTTTAATAACAATTTTAAACATAAAATAATAATTATTGGATACGTGATAATTAAGCTCTTAGCCTCAAATAAAAACTCATCAGATTGGGTATCAAGAATTAAAGGGATTGATTTAAATTCAAAAATCATTTTTTTTTAAATATTTAATTATCTTCAATTTAAAAATCATTGCTTAGCCATTATCCGATCCTCGACAAATATTGCAGATAGAAATCCTGAAATCCCTATTTCCCAACCTCATGATTTTCCATCCTATGTTTATCATTCTTTTCAATACTATATTTTACATTTTACAATAAAAAATCTATTCAAGACCATGCAATAATAAATAAATATTATTTTATTACAGTCAAAACCGCTTAATCGCATATTGCCTACGTTAGAGAACTGCACGGGCTGTCCGTAGCCCGACCCGACCCGACCCGACCCGACCCGAAAATATATATAATAATATTAATATCTTAAATAGTTAGTATAATTTATAATATTAATTATAAAATCATATTATTTAATATTTATCACATTTTAGGATTAAAATGTCAATCATATTAACATGTCATGTCATTATTAATTATTATTTTATAAACCTAACAACCGTATACCAAACTATTTTATTACTAAATTGTGTTTCTCGTAAATTACAAGATAAGACATATTTTATGTAAGTTTTATTTATTATTTAACAAGCCTATACATTGTCTTTTTTAACATTTGTTTTAACCCTTCACTACAAAGGTAGAAAAAACTCCCTTAACTACAAAGGTGGGGTCTATTTTACCCCAAATTTTGATTAGATATATCTCAAAACATATTAAAAATTGAGATCTAAAATTTTGAGTATATATTTAAAAAATATTGGAGATAATAAATACAAAATCTTAGATTAATATTTACTTCCAAAAAAAAGTTAGACAAATTTTCCTAAAATTACTGAAATAAAATTTTCTTTTTCAGTACTTCCTTTAATTATTTTATTATCACTAAATAAAATTCAAATTTTATTAAATCAATGTTGAATAATGATAATTACATAAATTTTATAAAAAAATATCATATATCAAAAAAAATATTAATCATCAAATATGTAAAATTATTAAAAAATAATAATGTAAATATATATCTTAATATTATTATTGAATATTTTTTTCTTAAGAAACTACAGAGGTGGTAAATACCTTTTTGGACTTCTCTCTATGGGAGGCTGACAATGCGTATTCTGATGCTAGCGCCGAAGTTGACGAGCTAAAAAAATATCTAGATCCGAAATTATGTGTTGATGACGATAATATTTTAAAATGGTGGAAAACAAACCATTATGAGTTTCCAAATTTAAGTATTTTAGCTCTTAAATTCCTGGCTATCCCTGCTTCGTCGGCTAGCAGTGAAAGGGCGTTTTCAGCTGCTGGTAGGGCCTTTGAGGAGAGAAGGACTCGTTTAAAGCCAGATAAACTGGACGCCTCTTTATTTATATATCATAATTATTCACTTTGTGATAATTTTGATAATGATATTGATGAGGTCAATATATAATATAATATGTTCATTATATTTTTTATATATTTATTAACTTTTACATCATATCTATATTCGCATAAATGATGCTTATTATATAATCGTTATAATTTTTAAATTCGCTTGTATATTAATCGTTTTATAATATTTTTTACAAATTTTAAAAATGCAACTTAATATATATCTTGAATAGATTATGGCCGTCAAATAAACTTTTATTTAAGGTGGCTGAACTGAATAAATACACATAAATTTTTTTTTGGTTATTATAATATTAAAACTTAAATTGCAAAATTTTATTCGGGTCGGGCTCGGGTCGGGTCGGGTTGGATTAAAAAATGTGTGCTCGGGCTCGGGTCGGGCTCGGACAAAAAAAAATTTTAAATTCGGGCTCGGGTCGGGCTCGGGTTGCGAAAAAATTACTTTGCAGTTCTCTAGCCTACGTACAAATATTTTTAAAAGCAAAAAATAAGCACAATTTTATTAAAATCTACAATGGCATAATGATATAATTTATCATTTAAATGCAAACCGGTGGTTAATTTTGAAAATGGGAAAAATTTTAGGCTACATTTATATTTTAACAACGTTATTAACATTTTAATATAAAACGCCATCTATCGGTTTTAAATATATATTACATACTTAATAACTAATCAATTGATATATATTAGTGAAGAGTATATATTTTTAAATTTCAAGAAATCTGATTATATTACCAAAAATTATTTTTAGAAAGATAATTCAGAAATAAATTTTTTAAATAAAAATAAATATAAAATTTTAACCACTATATCTTGTAAAGAATTTTAAAAATATATATTTATGGCTTGTTTGCTGTTTAAACGTACATTTGCTTAATTGAAAATAAAGATCTGTGTAATTTTTTTCATCACAAAATATAAATTTAATGTAATACTAAATGTTTTATTACGATTTTGTAGCAAAGTTCAACCTCTCATTTTCTGCTTATGAAAAGGCCTAAATCCTAAAAACAAAACAAATATGCTGCCCTCACCAACACCGTATTCATACCAATCGCTACCAAATAGATATAAATTTTTATTTTATAGAATAATAGCAATCAAAGTATAATAAATCTTTGATTACAATTCAGGATGATATTTTTTTTATAGTAAAGATAATTAATTACATACACTTGAGCCCTTATTTCTTCCTAAAATAATCTCCGGATAAAAGTGATGATGGTTTTATAGTAATAATTGAAGGTTGAAATCACCAAAATTTATACATTATCATTAATATTAATTGCATAATTCACAAAACTTGCAATAAATATTTATTTATTTGATAATTTTTTATTAGACCTAACATACTTCTGAGTTATGAATGGTTTAAACTTGATAAAAAATATGATATGGAAAATTCTCTTATAATTATATAATAAAAATATGGTTCTATAAAATTTTAGACATGATGAAATAATTAACAATTATAGCAAAAAAAATATTGCTCTTTTAAAATTATTCAATTTTTATAAAAATATTTGTAAGATATGGATTTTTATTATATTCTAAATTAGATTTTTATTTCTTTTATCTCTTATATATTTTTTGCAATAATCATACACGCATGCTGCTTGAAATTGTAATAAATCAAGCAACAATCACTATCCACTATCTCATTATGTATTACATATTGTTAAATTTATTTGAATTTGCATTATCATTTATCAGCCATTACCTATATCTAAAATATTGTTTTTATATTTTTGCTTAGTTATTTTATGTAATATATACTGATGATATAATTAATAATTTGATATTTCAAATTATATATTCACTATAAGCCTATGTAGTATTGTAAATGTAAAGTAATGGCGTTGAAAATGTTGCCTTTACTAAAGGAGTAACTTTGTGAGGAACATTATTCGACTCTTTTAGAGGGGTAAGGGGGGAAGGGGGAGTGGTACAAAGTAATGCATAACTATCTTCGTTTTACTCACTAGTTTTTAAAATAAAGAAGAAGAAATAATTATATTTTTTATGATATAATTTTATTTTCTAATCATACATTTAATAGAAAAATTAATAACTATGTAATTAATTCTGTTGAGTTACTTCATTATTCAGAATACACTTTACCTTACAATTTATATTTTTAGATACGTTTTATATACTTATTTATTTGTTATAATTTTCATAAGTTTTCGTATTTTTAATATTTAAATTACATTATAAATAATAAATATCATAAATAATAAATAATTTTTTTGTTAAATTATTATTATTTGTATAAGACATTACATTGTCAAAACTACGCCCCTTTATAAATAGCCAACCTCCTTTCCCCCGGATTAAGACCCCCTCCCTTAACCGATACGAGTGTTAACGTTTACTTTCTACCTCCATCTAAAAAATATTATCCCCTGGGAGCCTATTCAACACTTTCCTCAAATATATATGAAAGCAACCCCTTCCACTCGTTCATGTAAACACTGCCTGGTGTCTACACGATAGAAGGAGTATGACCTGTATGACTATTTACCCCCTCCAATCCCCATATCTTTATGGTTAATGATCCATACTACCAAGTATGTATGGAAATATTCTAAATACCAACCTAATTTGCTAAATACCGACCAAAATTTATTAAAATGTAATAAGACCCTTATTATTTAATATATTGTAACGGAATCACGTGGACGAGTCCGGCCTCTTATATATCATCCCCCTAAGGATGGAACCACCAAGTTCGATTAAGAAAAAAAACATAACCATTCCCGGGATTCGAACCAGAGACCATGGGATCAGTGAGCGAAGCTCTTGCCTACTAGACATAGAGGATTTCCAAAAATCACGATTTTTCAAATATATATTATAAATATATTTGGTAGTGCCTATCCAAATGAAAAGTAAACAAAATTCAAATTTGATAAGTAGTACCTTATGGTAGTACCTTATGGTAGTAAGCATCATTAACCTATCTTTATAAAGGTTTAAAAAAAAATAGGATATATGAAGTAAAATAAATAAATTTGGCGATACATCTATTTATTTCTCCTCTATTTTTTCTCCCATAAAGACTATTATTTTCCTTCCTCTATTTTAGATGCCAGCTAGCGTTTTAAAGTAATTTTGTAGATAAATAGCTGTAACTAGCTGTAATTTTTGGAATATAATTGCTAAAAGTAACTAGTTACTTTTTAATATTCATATATATATTATTATAAGTCTTTTAATATGTAATATTAATAAATTTTAAACAAGACTGACTTATCAATTTTTATCTTATCCATTTTTTTGAAGTTTGTTCAGGTTTTCCGGTATTATGGAGGATTATCTTCATAGTTTTATATAAAGCTCTAATATTATTTATAAGTAATTGTATTTGTAATGGTATTTTATTTTATTTAATCATATGTTTATTTCTAGGCTCTCACAATGAAATTAAAAGTAAAATTAAAATAGTCAATAAATATAACCCTTCCATAATCAAAATTTTATTTATTCGGGCATGGGCTTTTATCCTCCCCTCTTATTTCCCATGGGAGTTTAAGCAATTGGTTTTGCATATTGCGCGCGCAAGTAACTGCGGCCTGTCGATGGTCCTCTTAATTATTTTCCATCTTTTCTCCAAGTTTGATGGGTTTTTTATGAGAGAACCAATCGTTGCTCTGTTGTATATATAACTCTGTTTAGGGCTAGTGCGCTTAATATCACGTAAATTTTTAAATATCTGATTCTGTATGTGGGCCATTTTTATATAGTTAATATTTATAAAATAATCCGATTGATACACAAATACAGCCATAGCTTGGGGAGCACTATTATGTGTGTTTTTGCTTTTATCGGTAGGTCCACCTATTGTTAGCCTTTGGCTAGCATGTAAATTTCGGTTTTCACTTTTTTTTAACATTTTGAATTATAGTCTTTATTTAAAAAAGTTATCACTCTTTACTTATTTTCCTTTTAAGGGGGTAGTGGTATGTAGGAGAAACATTTTTATTAGCTAAAATGATATTTACAAAAACAGTCATTTAACCCCCCCCCCTCCCCACCATGGTTACATAAATAGAATTATTTAATATGAATTCTGATTCTGACTCATTTAATGCAGATGAAATTAAATGAATTTAAATGATGAAATATAAATTGTATTATACCTTTCTGCAAGCATTACCAAATTAGCAGACTTAAATTTTATTAAAAATTGGACAAACTTTAAAAAGTATTTTGGATTTCGCAAAAAGAAGGGTAGTAAGGCAATATTTGTGTTATTATCTCCAATCTAGTCATGTTAAACTGCCACTTGGGTCATTTTAGAATAATCAGTGATATATATATGTAAGTAAATTTTTATGTTATATAAAAAAATGATTCGATATATAAATGATTTATATAATATTTTATAATGAAGCTAATTACTTTTAAAATATAACTATAACTAGTTACATCTAAATAATGTGACTAGTAACTTTAACTAGTTACCATTTATAAATCTAACTAATTAAGTTTAAAAAGTAACATTTAAAATTTAGATGTCACAGTGTATCTTAATTTTAGATAAGCTTAGACGGCTAAATATAAATTCATATTTTAAAATTATATTATAAAATTATATTTTAAAATCATATAATATTATGTTTATACATTCTATTATATCTATCTAAAAGGAACAATCTTTTTTTAATTTATGGATTTATAAAACGACGAAAACTTTTTTTATTTATGAACATCTGAGTGATACATTGTTAAAAGTATCATTCTTATTTTAAAATTATGCAATCCTTTTTAATTATTTTATTTTATTATATTATTTATTGTAATTTAAATTTATATTAAATAATATTTTAAACATTTTATTTCCACGTTTTTAAAAAACAATTAAATTAAATCCCATATGTAAATAAAGCGCTTTAAACCAATCGTATTTTACCACAATCCCGCCAAAGCTTTTAAGAAGCTCGATAAAAAAAAATGCATAGTTTTCCGAAGTATAGCTTCATTATTTTATTTTTTAATTAAGATCGTAAATTGTGAATATTTAATTTATTTTATTTTAAAACAAAAAATAACTAGAAACGCGACATCACAATCAATAAATTATCTCAAGCGTTATTTCTCGTAAGCCTCATATTTTTTTATTTAGAAATTTTGCTTTTTTAAAACCACTATAAAATTTTTAAATATGGATGATTCTGGTGATTCAATATTGTCATTTCATATCGAAAGCTTAAATTATAGTTTTTCACCCGCTACTCCGTCGTTTAAATTAAATGCCGCGCGATCTCTTTTTGGCGAGGAAGAAGTGAACGATCACGAATCTTCCTTGCATTCTTTAAATCAGATTATTTCAAAGTTTCCCGTTATATTTTCCTCCCCCACCTTGTTTCCAATTAATAATAAACCAATTAAATCGCCCCATTTGCAACCTTTACACTCCTCACCCATCATTAACAATGCAATATCTATAAACAAATCATCTCATACTGCGTCTAAGAGTTTTTCTGACACCTGGATGGACAGTCCATTAAAGCAAGCTTTAAATCAAGCCTATGAAAGTCCCGATTTAATCGCCGATTTTTCTAAAAACTATGCCCTGCCCACTTTATTGGGCAATAAAAATCCTGAATTAAAAGCAGTAAAATGTGAAACAGTCAAACATTTATTAGAAAATAAATATTCATCTACAGTGAAAAATTTTTCCATAATTGATTGTCGTTTTCCTTATGAATATGAAGGTGGTCACATAAAAAACGCAATAAATATATACACCCGAGAAGGTATAATAGAATATTTTTTTAAAAACCCTATCTTTCAAAGTTCTTGCGACAAACCAAGTAATCCTAAAAATTTTAAATTTAACAATCTGAATGATAACAAGGGTTATATTAAAACTGCAAATCTAGAACTCAATCACAATATCATCATATTTCATTGCGAATTTTCTCAGGAAAGAGGTCCAAAATTGTACCAATTTATGCGCAATTATGATAGGCAAATTAACAAAGAACAATACCCAAAATTATATTATCCAGAAGTCTACATTCTAGAAGGGGGTTATAAACTGTTCTACGAAAATTTTTTACACCTATGCATACCTCAAAATTACAAACCGATGCTTCACAATGACCACAAAAATGATCTAAAACATTTCAAGGCAAAATCAAAATCATGGGGCGGTGAAAAAAACAATCCTATAGCCAGACCTTGTATCAAAAAGAGAAATTTATTTAGATGATTACACATATTTTTTTAACAATAACCATAAAGAAAATCAAAATATATATTTTTTTAACCCATTTTTTTTATTATTATCATAACACTCATTTTTATAACATTTTTTTTTTAAATCTATTTCCCCCCCCCCCTTTAAATTTTTTTTTTAAAAAATATTATAGCAATTTATAATAAAAAGAATATTTATTAAAATGATCTGAAAAGCAAAAATAGAAACATAGTACAATGATTATTTTTAATAAATATATGTATATATATGTTAATTATATATTCAAATGATTTTTTTTCCTTGATGCTTAAAATGTTTTTTTTTTAAATAAAATTGTTACTTGTGTGTTGTATTCTATATCTTCAAATGTAAAATTTTGGATAAATCTTCCTACACATACATAAAAAACAACAACTTTATAGTATGTTTATAGTATAACAAAATAACACTTTACATGTTTTATTATAATTGTTATAATGAAACAAAGTGGAATAAATATATAGAAAAACTCATGCTTGTCAAAAAAATATTTTTCTTGAATTAATATTTAATGGGGTAACTCTTAGATAGCTAATTATTATAATGTGCATGCCCAATTTTTATGGCATAAAATATTTTATAATAGTTCATCTTGAACCTCATATTAATAGAATAAGTGAAACTTTTTCAAAAAAAGATGAAGAGTTTTGCATTTGTTGTAATTTTATATAAACAACAATTAAGAAGGCACAAGAATAGAAAGAAGGTAATATCAAATCACATAAACAAACTTATTAATAAATGGACATTGCTTAATGAAACAATCAGCCCTAAAATTGGTAAATCATTAAATCGATGCCTAACATGGATGATTTAGAATGAAATCATAAAACTTGAAAAAATCAATCGATTTCTTGCCAAAATAAACCTTGTTTCTTTTTAAATGTTTTTGACACAAACTTTTAATTTTAGGCATAAACCAACAAAATTTTATATAATTTATTTATAAAAAAAAATTTCTGCAAGATTACAGATTAAAAATATTGTACTATGGTTGTTAATAATAATTATCAGGTCTACAAATTTTTTAGCCAAATAACCTCAGCAATAGGGGTTTTCCTTCTTCGTGATATATTAATCTCAGAAAATAGAAATAAATAGCTTGCACCTGATGCTTACTTAGCATGAGCCAAATTCTTTACTCATTATAATTTACTCACAAATTTTTTTTATATTCAGATCATAATTGACAATAAGAATTATATAAATAGTACCTGTAATTTAAATTATTTCAGTCCACATTCAAGAATTTTCAGTGGAGACAACAGTTTACTTTGGATAGCCAAATTTTTCTTAGGAATATTTTTATTGAAAATTTGTAAATTCCAACAATTATGAGAATAAATTTTAATAGAATTCAAGCTAGGTAAAAAAATTTTCCATAAGCCATTAGCACAAATTTTAGTTTTTATTACCCTCTAATGAGGCCTTGAAACATACTCTTGATGCCTCAATGATAACTGCTACTGAATAATATTTATATAGTTTCTTAAAAAGCAATATAGTATTTTTTTTTAACATTCCATTTTTATAATCTTTAAGCACTTTAGCCACTCACCAATAATCCCTGTGTTCATTTTGTTCTTAGGGGCCAAAAATTTTATTTTTGTTCCCCCTCTGTGTATGAGACGTATTTTAATTAAATATTAGTAGAAAATTACTAATCATTTATTATTTCTATTTATATCATATACAAAAGCAATAGCTCTCCACATTTACATGTGCAGTTTATGACCCGTTGTAACGTTGTGGACAATAGCGAATTGGCGAAAGAGGCCAAGTTGGCTGGAAAAATGGCGAAATGCATTCACGTTTACAATCATAAAACTGGTCTAGCCTCTCCCGGTGATAGAATTTTGGTAGCTTTGATGGGACAAAAAAGGTTAAAAAATAAATATTTTTGAAATTTGGATTGAGTGTCTTAGATGTTAGAATTAGAAAGTTAGCTCGAGATTATGCTTAGAAAGATTAGTTTAAAAATGGAGGATTTTTTTTTCTAACATTTATGATTAATTTATTATATTTTTATTTCAGGAAAGCGATAGTAGTTGGAACCAAAGTAAAACAAAGGCCTATGCACCCACGTTTCGACGCTATTAATATAGTGCTAGTCGATGATAAAGACGTCCCCCTAGGGAATAAAGTGACGGGCCCTATACCGGGTTACACACTGAGAAGAAACACGGCTAAAAGAGGGGACATAAGGGGAAGGGCCGATTGCACCAAATTGCTCAGCATAGCCCAAACCATCATTTAAAAAAAAATGAATAAAATAATAATAAATTGTATTTTTTTTTAAAAATTTTATTAAAGATTTTATAATGTCCATTTGATACATAAATTCTTTATTGATTATTTCAATATATTATTATATTATATAATAAAATAAAATATATGTAATGTAATGTAAAATAGAAAAAAAGGTGTTTGTGTCATATTAATTTATAATTTAAATATTATTTTAAAAAAAGAAAATTAATTGACCCTTTAATGAGCATCAAAAAAAAAATTAAATTTATGAATATAAAGCTATTTAGTTTCCTCCACTCGACTGCAACCATTTTTTTTTTAAAATTATTAATAAGAATTTATAAAATCGATATGTGAAAGAGTTATTTTTTAAAGAAGATTGTAAATATATAAAAAAAATATATATTCCCGTAATGGATTTCTCATATCTTTGCCCACCTTTCCCCTATTTTTTATGAATATTCAAAATAACAATCGAAAATGGCGTATATTCGTTTATGTATAATAAATAGTTTTAAAGTGCGAAGAAATATAAACGATAGCTTTTAAAATCAATATATTTACAAGGTATAATAATTTTAAAAAAAAAAGATGTCGCAATAGCCATTAAAATGTAAATTTAATCATTCCTCGTGAGTGCCTGGCGGAACCAATTTGTTGAAAAGCGTTTCCAAGAAAGCGACATTTTGCGTCAAATTGTCTTCCAGATTATGTTCAAGCCAGTTTTTCTTAAAAAGTCCAATAATGTCCAATAACCTATATATATATACATAATTTTCTTAAGATTTAGAGAAATAGATAATAATATTAACGTGGTTCATTTCCATGTATCTAATTTAATTATTTTTTCCTGTATCCTTTGGTTTTGACATTTGGCGATAATCAATTTGGCATTTTGAAATATGAGTTCGAAATTGATTGGCGTCACAAAATAAAATTTAAAAACAAGTTTTACTTATAAAAAATTTTTTCAACAAAAATCGCTCAGCTGTCAATATCGAATATACGCTTCATTTAAGGCGACTAAAAAAATGCGTTAACCGAAAACTATCAGTCCACCGATTTTCGCAATCGACTAGTTGCAATATTCGTATTAAATTCCCATTATCGAATCGAATAACGGTATTCGTTCGAGTGTCAAAAATCAAGACCATTTATTTAATAGTTTTTTTTAAAAATAAATCGAAAATTTTAAAATAACAGAAATAATTTCAAAAAATAATACGAAAGATGAAAGATGGCAAATATATAATTATATTATTCGTAAAATACGTGAATCGAATAGTTTGCTTTATCCAATCACTAAAAAAATTAACTAACCAATCCAATCATTAAATTATCTGGCCAATCCAATTACTAATTTTAAGAATGCGTCAATTTTTTTTTTTAAATTATATATATAATTTCAAAATCTTCCCAGACCAAAGCCTATCTAATCAATTTTTTTTTAATTTCTATTTTCACAGTTGTTTAACAAATAAAAAATAAATATATAATTTTCTGTCTGTCAAATTATTGTATGGACAATATTGGAAAAAAAATATATTTGAAGGACCTTTTATACTACAATAAATATGTATGTCATATTTATTAATATCTTGATTTCCTTTTTTAACCAGGTTTAAAATACATATTATAATAAAGTTCATCTAAGATTATCTCATATAAAAAATAATATTTTTTATTGTATTGTCACGAAAACAATAAGGGACTTACATATAAAAAAAATTTAAATATTTTGTTTATTTATTTAAATTATTTTTAAAAGGATTTTTTTGAAGTTGACAATTAATTTTTTTTTTTTTGTAAAAAAGATAAAAAAAAAATTTTAAAAAAGGATTTTTAATAATTAAAAAAAATATATGCTTTGCGAGGGTGGTATGGTAATAATTAATACTTATAAAAGCTGGGTCAGGCTAGGGATAACGATTATCGTTTTATTTAAGGCTTTTATATATTTCATAATAAACAAATTAATTTTTCAAATAAAAGTTTTAAAAAATTTAAGTCAAAAGAAAATGACGGGAATGAATTTTATAACGGTGATTTTTGTTTTAAAAATGAATAAATTATACATCGAAAAATTTTTTTCACACGAATACGTGAAAAAACTTATCTCAGAGTCGGTAAAACTATGTACCATACTAAACACTCTTCATGATCATGACAAACTAGCACTACTACGTATAAAAATTGGTTTGTTAAAGTCCGTATAAATTATTGTGGATTGATCTTAATGAGAGATTCGTATTTGGCGAGAAGGAGGGTTAAATTCGAGATTTTTAGGGCTAAAAAAATTCAATAATTACAACCAAAAATGAGAATATTGTGTGGCTTCGCTAAAAATTATGTCGAAACAAAATATTCAAATTTTAAAAGTATTAGATTTGATACTATCTGACAATTTAAAAATACCCTGTTTTTTTTTCTAAGTACTTTTTTTTCTTCTTTAAACCAGGCATTTAAGTCCGATTTCTTTTTTTGCCAGAACATCTTCTTTTTTTTTAAATATCGGATTACCGAGATCTAATAATGCAACATTCAATCGTAATTATTTTAGAAAGAAAATTGACCTGAATCAAACCGTACACGTATTCATACAAAGAAGACTTAATTTAAATGGAGTCGGTTACTAGTGGAGATCTGCAAGGTCCGGCCAGACCGAAGGCCCGGCCCAAAAATCTGGACTCGGTCGGTCTTCTCGGATTTCTAATTCCTGAAGATTTTAACATTTTTAAGCGGGCTGTAGACTAAATATTTGAGAAATATGTACTTGTTTGCCAAATCGGTTTTATGGATCGAGTTAATGTTGGCCAATCCCGGGTTTATGAAATGGGTGGTGGTATTGCTACCATTAGCCGAATTATTCTGATTAGGATCGGGGTTGGCTCCGGCTATCATAAGGCATTTGGCCAAGCGGCAAGCCAGGGTCATGACTTCTAGGTCGCAAATGTAATTGCTTATGAGGTTGTCCACTTTATGAGACGAAGAGGATCTATCGGGGTGGCCGTCGAGCCCGGCGTTAGGTTTCGGGGACGGAGGAGCTCCTTCTATCTTGTTCCGCCACGAGATGAGGTTGCTGAATATTTTGCGCAGTATTTTGACGATTTTCTTCAAAGAGATAAATTTTTTCAATTTCGCTCAAACATAAATATATTATAAGAGGATAAATTTTCATTTACTGGCCTGGCGCCGAAATATTTAGCGCGAGTTGTTCGGCAAGTAAAAAAAAATTTATGGTAAATAAACATCAATAGTTAAGGTCGGTGTTGTTAAACGGTTCGATTTAACCCATATTTTTAAATATTATGGCTAACTCAAGATTTTAGCCAAATTACTAATTACTTAAAAGTCGTGTTGTTTAGCGGCTCGTTTTGAGCCGGTTCTTTTAAAACGGCCAACTCAATATTTTTAGGCAGAAAAAAATATCGCCTAAGCTTCGGATTTCGCTAATAGATGTCTAGACCTCTGTACCATCTATAAGCAAAATCTTCAGGTTTCCGTCATATTTTTTCCGAATAAAATATTGAGTTAGGCCATTAATCTACAAGTTTGTGGTAATTACTTTTGGCTATACAGTTGTTGACCCAGATTGGATGATAAAAACGTTTTCATTTTTTTATAATTTTATTTGAAAATAAAATTATTTTGACTTGCAAGAAAAATTGTAAAAAAAATAAATAACATATTTATAGTATATTCTTATCAATTTTTTTAACAAAGTTAAATAATAATTTAAAGAAATTAAAAATTATGATGGGTTTCCATTAAAATCTGCACAACACTGTAGTAATCTTGAGTTAGCCGTTTAACAACGCTATTTGAGGTTTATCGAAAATACGAAATCCTACGATTCACGATATAATTGTATATTCAAAATTGAAAAGCGTTTGTTTCGCGTTTTTCTTACAACTAATGTATTTTAAACGCTTTTTGTTTCCCGTTTTTTTTTAAAAAATATATTTTTTCAAAAAAAACACGCAAAATGGTTTAAATAAAAATTAACATTTATAGATGATATATAGGTTTATTTCTCAGCATATTCTGAAAGTAAAAATTATAATTTTTTTATTTTAGCGCCGAAATTTAAAATAAATATTTTACGGTTACGTTTGGGTGCACCACAATATTATGGCCACATTCATAGTGGAAATCCGATCCTATTTCAGCCGTGCGATTTTAAAAATCTTTTTAATGAGATCAACTTAGAATTTGTTCATAAACAGATTTTAAAAATCGATCAGCTGTTAAATCTGGTCGGAATGGATCCAACTACACTGCCGAGAGCGACTTATTAAAATTTTTACCTAGACACCAAACAAAACGTCGGCCATTTTTTCTTTCTCCCTTTAAATATCACAAATTATGGTTGTTAATACTCAAATGATAGAAACCGAATATTTTAAAATCCCGGAAGTTCATTTAAATAAAACGTATTTTTAAAAATTTTTTAAACCTCTTATTCGTTTTTAAAAAAAAAATCCTTAAAAAGAAATGTCTATGCATAACTAGAATCCCTTCTATGTTGACCACTCAAAGAATCAAAAGACTAGTGATCACCTCATGAAGGTTTCGCGGTCTTAAATTACACGCGTGTTAAATGGCTGAAAGAGAATATAAAGTGGATTACTTGTTATAGATTAATAATATGGTGGAAGCGTCAATATCGATCAAATGTTTATATAAAATAAAATATATAAAATTAATACACAATTTTCATTTGACCATATGCCTCCTCTATAAATGTATAAAAATTAAAATTTCAAACAAATTTTGAAAAAATATATATTTATTTATAGTATTTAAATTTTTTTTTTTAAAAAAAAAAAAATAAAAAACGCCATGGAAGCAAGCGTGCTTTTGATATCGATCGAAAAAAATGTTTTAAATGGGTAATATGATACTTCATCAGCCAAAGTCGTAAAAAAACATATAAATTTAAATCGTAATCAGTGCAAACTGGTTTACCAACTTCTTTAGAAGTTCGAGTTCGGTAAGAATAGCGGTATTACCGGATTATAGACGATTCAGGTTCGAATCTCCGGTATAAATTTACATTAATTTAAGTAAATATCCTTAGATATGGATAAAAATAAAATAAAGATTAAAGTTAGATATTTAATCTGAATTTTTTTTTAAAGTGTGCACTTGACGTTCCTTTTTTCTCCCCAAAATGTAACGCCGTTACTAATTTCGTTATTTTATTGGCAATAAACGGGTTTGAGAACTGAAACTTTCTGAACCAGAGCCAGAATAACTTCTTAATTTGTCCGAGTCCTATATTGGGTTGGGATCACGACAGAGACATTCTCTCAGAATTCGTCGGGCCGGATTGCAAATTAAAAATAATATTCGGGTTGAGTTAAATTCGGACAAATTTTTATTAAACTCGGTTAGTACTCGAACCTTGGAAGAAAAAAAATTAAAACTATTCTGATTTCCTAACACTTTTCAAATAGAAACGCACGTTACTTTTTTCCTTCAATCTAATATATAAAAATTTTAGATAGGATGTATTTTAAAAAAAAATAGGAGTTAGAGTTCAGATCGGATTCTTTAATCGGATTAGGTCTAACTTGATAAATCGATTCGATATATAGGCCCTACTCGAAACAATATATCACGTGATAATATAACTAAATTTTAATAAATGAAAATGGTAAAAAATTACCCCAAAATATTCTACGGTGAAATTCTGCAAATCAATATCGTCGGGCGCCGTCAATATCCGGTAAAAGAACGAATCGCTCTTCTTAATCATGTTTTTATTACTATCATTACCAACACCCCCGTGATTGGAATGACAATTTCTGGCGTTGGGGTCGTAATTAAGCAAGAGGGACTTTTGGTTCATGTCGTTCTCTATGGCCAGGAGTTCCAATAAAGTGTTACTCAGGACGCATTCGACATCCTCGGGGAAAACGTGCCAGCTCAGGATGTAAGGAAGGGTCTTGGAGTAATATTCGTGCTTAACAGATTATACACGAAAATTAATGATATAGATAAATTGCAAGTATCATATATCCCCATTTTATTTTAACGATTAGTTATTATGCATATATCAGCAGAAACCTACAAGAGGTTTCATTTGTACGGCCCGGCCCGGGTAAAAAAATTTTTAGGCCCGGCCCGGGTATATTTAAAAAAATCTAAAATAGGCCTGACTCGTGTACCCGGGTCGGGCCTGCAAGTCTTTACTTCAAAGCGATCTCGAGTGGATAAAAAATTGGAAAGCGTTATTCGCTAATAGAGTCCCGCGGACACAAATTCGTTACGGCACGGCCGAGCCAAATCATATTCGGCCCTAAAGATTATTAACAATTCGTGGAATATTTTGGGCATAATATTTTTACCGGGCCGAGTCAGATCTTTAAAAATGTATGTCCGAGATGCAGGGTTCGTGAAATTATTACTCACCAAATAGTAATTATCAAAAAACGCCTCATAAAAGAACCCTCGATTCCCGTTAGTAAAACTTCTTTTACGATAAGCGAATTACAATTTTGGATCGCGAAAATGACACTATATATTATATATTTAAAACAAAATATCCTATTTTTTTTTAAGTTTTAGTTAATGTGCCATCTACATTAATAAAATAATATTCAAAATTTTTATTTACAATTCGAATTCATTTTCGTATTTTTTGGATATCAATAAAAATAAGGCGTGAAAACGAAATTCAATGACCTGGTATAGGTAGGCAATATATATAATTTTTTTTAGTTTTAGATTTTAATGATTATCATAGGTTTTCAGAATCTCCCCCGAATAATAAAAATTTAATCATTTTCATTTCATTTTTAAAAATAACGACAAACAAACACTTTTACTGTAATAATTAATAAGTTATAAAGATAAAGTAATATTATCGTTTAAAAATTTGGTAAAAGCAAAATTTATTATTACAAAAATAGTAAAAAAAAAATGATTGTATAATTATAATTATCAAATTTTTTTAAAAGTCATAAAAAAATGATAAAATTTCCTTTTTTTATCGGTATTTTGATCCCTGTACTATCTCAATATTTCGTTAACATTTGCAGCAAATATAGGCGCGATTTCTACCTGTTGGAATCCGACTCAGGCCGCATTCATAGTGGATCCGATCTTACGATTTAACAGCTGATCGATTTTTAAAATATGTTTGTGAGATCAATTTTTTCTCAAATAACATTAATTTTATCTTCAATTCTATACATGATAATAACCTAAGAAATATTGGTTTTAATAAAAGAAAAATTTATTCTCATAAACCGATTTTAAAAATCGACCAGCTGTTAAATCGTGTGGCGTTTAAGATTTTAGCCCAAAAATTTAAGCCTCGAGATTTGGTGAACGAATATTTCGGCTAAAATTTTTATCGGGCCATCGGATTGTTTAACGCTAACCGGGTTTAAAATTTTCGCGAACATAGGGAGGGTAGGAACTTCGGGGAGATTATTTTTGCCTTTCCAAATGTTTTGAGAAAATATTCTCATCTACAAAAAAAAAACACCCCCAAAATTTTTTCCCCCTTTTACTAAGGCGATTAAAAAATCGTAATACTTTTTCCTCGATCCAATATTTTTTTTTTGATTAGCCGGGGTCTAAAAAGTTCAATTGGACCTATTCTCCCAAAACAAGAGTACGATCTATGGAAAAAAAATCAACTCGGTTGTACAGTTTTTTTTCTTCGTTTGACCGGGTATGATCAAGAGATTAGATTCCAGCGCCAAAATTTCTGACCCGCTTATAACAGCTGATCGATAATTTATAAAATCTTTTTAATTTCGGAATGAATAATCCAATCTTCATTTCTAATCTAAGGGAATCATCAATATATTTAATCGGAAAAATTGATCATATTTTAAAAAAAAAAAACAATTCCTATATAGCAGTTTTTATACAGTGAATGCGTTGCGGTCATATAAATTTTTTTTCCGGGCTGTATTTTTAAAAATATTATCGAACGGATGAATATTTTAGAATCCGGAACCGGGCCTGATATTTTAACTCGCCATTTATTATCTATTAAAATCAAAAATAAAATAAAATGTATTCAAAAATTGAGTATCAAAGAGGCAACGTATCAATTCATTCCATTTTTATAGAATATGGCGATATATTCAAATCAAATTAAAATATTCATAAAATATAAGGGGAAAAAGTTATTATGGATAAGTTTATCATTTTATCTCTCCCAAATTCGGCCAATTATGTACCTTGCCAGGGATAGAGCGCAAAATGACCGATATTTATATCTGACACTCGGGCCGTTTAATTTTTTTTTAAAACCAGGACCGGGCCTAAAAATGTTATTTTAAAAATATCCGGGCCGGGCCGGATATTTTAAAACCGAATATTTGGAATCGCCATTATTAGCTCTACAACAAAAATAATAAATCCGGGCCGGGCTTGAAAATATAATACCCGGGTCGGGCCGCGCAAATGGTACCTCCGCGGGCCTCCGATACTTTTTTTTTAATTGACGTATTTATTTTAGGGGTGCGTTCAAAATATTGAAAAAAAAAACCAATCTAACTATCAAAACTTTAAATCCAAAAAAATTATTTCTAGAAAATTCTAAAAAAAAAAATAAACATATAATAAATATTTAAAACTTTCTCAATTTTTTTTTAAAAAAAAAAAGGATTTAGGACGTACCCATTATAAAGTAAAGGTCGTTAACCTTATTATAATCGAATTCTAGAATTTTTAAAATTTTTTTTTAACAAAATTCAATTTGGCCACATTAATGTTCGTGTTTTAAAATTATTTTTGACTTTCGGATTAAGGCGCGAATGGAAAATTATTCGATATTCGATTCGAAATGAATGAATAGGCGAATAATGAATTATTCGATTAGAAGAATTCGAATCAAATACGAATAAGAAGGGCTCGTTCGATGCTGCGGGCTTCACGAGAATCGTTTTTATATATGGCCGTTAAGGACTTACGGTCAGCTGTTGCCCGGACCGTCGACCGAGCCCCTTTTGAGAGTGTTATTTTTCGTTAATTTATTGAATGTCAAAAATGTTAATACAAAGAAAATTATATTTTTAAATATGTAAAAAAAACGAAAAATTTTTATTTTAGTTCCCACATCCACGCAAACAGAACAGATGGTCATTTACCCCCACTGCTCTCTTAAATCACAAAAAAATAATGGGGAATAATTCACCCTGGAGGGAGACATTTTCATTTACAATCCCCGGAAGAGTTAATTTTTTTTTATTATTATTTTGATAAAATATTTCTGGTATTTATATGACTTTTTTGTTTCGTTTGGGAGGATGATAAAAGAAAGTACAATTTTGTTTTCTGTTATATATTATTTGTCGACTTCGGTTACTGTCAACTTAAGATGTGTTTGAATGGCATAGGTATATAATATACGAATTGAATAATTCCTTATGTAGTAAGAATAATAAAAACATTATTCGATTCGAATAAATTGTCTTTAAAAACACTTTCGCGAAATGAAAAAAAAAATGGACTATTATAAAATTTAAAAAAGTAATTTTAAATAGATGAGGAAAAAAAGAAGGTTTAAAAAATAAAATAAAATTTTCTAAATATGTTAAATCCAGGGATTTGAACCGAACCTGAACTCGGAGGAGTAAACCCTGGTTTTTGATAAAAAAATCTGAACCCGAACCGAACCTGAACCTTATTTATAAAATTTTTACAACCCCGAACCAAAACCAAGGAATTTTTATGAACCCGGGTTCAAGCGGGTTCAGTGTATTGTTTAAAATCATATATTAAGATATTTGTATAATTGTAAATACAAATATTAATAATTTAATTGAGATTTTAAAAAAATTATCATAATACCTTTTAAGTGAAGTGATAATAAATTTTAAACAACTTAATTCATTTATGCCATTTTTTAATTTTTTTTTAAAATTTATTTTCAAAGATTCCTATTGGAGTGTTAAATAAATTTAAAGCAATTAAATACATTCAGGCCATTTATTTTTAATTTTTAACTTAGTCTCAAACATTACTAATTAAAGGAATGAACAAGTCAAAGTTAAAAATTATTATATTGATTTATTTTTTGTTCAGATTAATTTTAATATATATTAATGAAGTGTATATTATAATGTAAATTAAATTTATATATCTGTTTTTTAATTCTATGAAATCATTGCTATTTAAAATTTATCCTCTTTAACTCTTTTATTTCAAGGTTTATGACTGTTTTGTATTTTTAAATGTATTTTATTTGCCTATAAATAAAATAAAAAATTTATTTTTATACCAAATTTATGTCTAGTTTTTTAATATCAATTCGAAAATTCTTAAACCCGAGCTAAACCCGGAACCAAACCCGGGTTCAAAAATATTTCCATAAACCGAACCCGAAACCGAACCCACCTTTTATTTTTTACTTAAACCGAACCCGAACCCGAACCGAACCCGGGGCTAAAATTTTGCCGGGTTCGCATCCCTGGTTAAATCCCTTAAAAATCATTTCAAATTATAGTCATTATCTAGGAATAATTTCTAATATTTAAGAAGAGTAACACGAATAATTTGTTTTTGAGTAGATTTTCAAAAACGGATAACTCAGTATCTCATCCTTAAAAATTATTCGCAAGCCCGAAGGTTTTGTTCATAGAAGGAACAAAGGTCTTATCGAAACCGTTTTTCGAAACCGGCTCAAAACGAGCCGAGCCGTTTAACAACACTAGTTCGAATGATAGGTAAAATATTATTCGACAAAATAATATATTATTTCTTTGTCGTAAAATATTGCTTTGAAATCAAATCGAATAATTCATTAAGTATTAAATGTAAAAAAAAATAAATATATATTTCTTATTTAATTTTCGTTTAACTTTCCTTTAAAATCTTTCATTTATTTAGTTTTGCTTTCCTTAATCGAGATAACTAACAATAGCTAAAAAAAAAATTAGCTTCTTTATAGCCCATTAAAATGAAACTGTTATTGTTAAGTTTTTACAATACACAATCTCG